GTTATCAGATGAGAGTTGTGAAATCAGAGTACTGATATATAATTATTTTCACATGATTTTCTTCAAATTAGAAAGTTAGTGTTATTAAAAATTATTATCTGATAGAGTAATTTATCAGCTTAGTAGTAATTTTCTGATTATTTTTCTTTTATTATCTACATTCTGATAACTTCAGATGTTAGAAAATTTCTTCAGAGCTATAATCAGTTCATGATAAATGTTTCTGAATAAAGTTGTAGTAATTATAGTTAGACTGATCAGCGGAATCATGAATTTCATATTTAGTTTCATTTAGTCTGATCTTATACATTTCTTGGCGTGAGTTTCACCAGGATCAACTCTTAAAAAAATCTGAAAATGAATTGTTTCTGAGAGAAATGATGTGAAAAATGATCAGATTTAATTCAAGAACAGTGAAATGAGAGTAATTTCTCAGAATAAACTATGAAAGATGATTATTCTTTCAAAATCAGAATGAGACTGAGACTGAAGATTAAAATCAGTCTCATTCAGTTCATTCAGTAATTGCTTATATAATCAGAATTTGATAACAATTATTGATAACACTCATGAAATAACTAAATACATTCTTGTATAAGTTTATTCTTTACTTTCTTATGAAAACTACACTTCTCTGATATACTGTGATCAGAGGTATTAAACTGTCTGATAATTTCATGTTTTATAATCATGAGTTTCTTGATTATTTCTTCTTGTAATTGTCCTCAGTAATAGTGATAAATATCTCAACTTGAGTTGAACTTTCACTTCATTTTCATCTCTGTTAATGAAATTGTCAGAATATTATATATCATCAGTGCAACAGTTAAATATGTACTCTCAATAATTTTTCATAACTCTAGAATTGATTTGACATGTAAATTCATCAGATCATCTTGAAGATAGTGATTAAATTCAGTTTTACAAGTATGTAGTTTTGTCTGATTTTCAGTTATAATTAATGTATACAAGTTCTGTTTCAAAGTTAGTATTATAGTTCTATATAATATAAAGTATTATCAAAGATCATTACTTACTAGAGAATTGTATTTCACTATCTTCACATCTTAAACATCTGCTCATTCAAATCTCTGATAGTTGATATTGTAGTAATCTCAGACTAATTTGATATATAGATCTTATTTCTTCTCTATTTAATCTTGAGAAGTGTAGATATTAACTTGATAAGAGAGATCTAGTAGAGCTGCTACAGTATAGTACTCTGTAAAAGATTGTTTCATTTTACTGTAATAATATATCAGTTTATTTCTTATAGCAACAATAGCCTGTGCTATAGCATTATCTCAGACTGAATTTCTTTTTAAGTGATTCAACTGCTTCTCAAGATAAGTAAATATACTGTTATATACTTATCAGACTGACTGCAGCATTGATGTATGAGTGATTAAGACTGTCTTTATTATCTTATAAAACTGAAACAGTAAATTAATTACATATTTCAACTAAGTTCACTTTATATCAGAAAGTTTCAATATCTGAATCTTTTTCTGATCAGAGTATTACACTCAATGATCAATCATTTAATACAATTAAAAAGTCTGAACAGTTATCTTATATATTGAACTGTATTATATTCTAATATTTTGTATCATATTCAGTGATATGACTGATTTGTTTATTTATTGAATATCATGAAATTATTGTTATTATTTAGAAGAGATACAAATTGTATTAGCAATGTTTCAAATCTATGATATTTAAATTATTAGTCAATCTATTCAAAATTAACAGTAGTATTATTAAAAAGTGTTATCAAAAAGCAATATTAAAAAATATTATCAAAAAACATTATCTTTTACAAAGTGAATATAAAAGTTACTTGAGTAATCACTTTCATCTCATTCTCATCTCAAGAATCAGTCATCTCATTATTCTTTATCTCAATGTTAAGATTCTTTATCAGTGTTTATATCACAAGTTAAATCACATAAGCAATGCAGAGAATATGACTTTATTTATTATTTCAGAAATACAAAGCTAATTTTTACTTCAAGCTCTTCATCATAGTATAGTTATTCAAAGTATTATCAGTTGTAATTATAAGAAGACTGAGACTAATATCTCAATAGTCATTTTTAATCCCAGTTATTAATATCTCTGTTATATAATTCTCAGTATGACTACTGATTAATGATTCAAATTCAATTAATGTCTCTTAATAAGTTCAGTTCTCATCAATATAATAACATGTAACTCTTATAAATGTAAGATTATTTGTACTAGTTCATGCATTCACTGTGAGAGATACTCTTCAATGATTCTTCAACTCTGATTCTAGATGTTGTATATTGACTTTGTAGTATATCTTGAGATTGAATTGAAGACAGAATTGATATAAAATATAAAGATTTGAATTAAGCATTTGAAGAAGTGTTCAGAATTCAGAGTTTTTAATTAATTAAAGAGAAAGATTCAGAGATATATACATATAAAGTAATTATTCATAAAAGTTATCAGATAAGAGTTATGAAATCAGAGTACTGATATGAGATTGTTTTTACATAATTTTCTTCAAATTAGAAAGTTAGTGTTATTAAAAATTATTATCTAGTAGAGTAACTTATCAGCTCAGTAGTAATTTTCTGATTATTTTTCTTTTATTATCTGTATTCTGATGACTTCAGATGTCAGAAAATTTCTTCAGAGTTATAATCAGTTTATAATTAATGTTTCTGAATGAAGTTGTAGTAATTGCAGCAGAGAGATAACTCTTCAGTAATCTATAATACAATCTATTAATAATTATTTCATAGTTTATCTCAGTGTTTATGTTGAGTTTTTCATAAATTTCATGATCTGAAATCAGATGTGAAGAATGAAGTGATCATTTATCATAATTAAAAGAGAGCATTCTGTGTTGAATTATAAATAATATAGACTTTGTAATTCACAGTGATTTCTTGAAGAGTTTGTAAATCTTTAATAAAAGTCAAAGAAGTGAAAGAAGTGAATTCAGAAAATATAATAAAGATTTAAAAAAGATGATAATTTATTTTCAATAACTAATCACTGATGTGTGTAAGAAGAATTAATATAAAAGAAAATAATCTTGTTTCTTAGCTTAGTTATAATTTTAGTACTAACTCAGATTGAATATCATCAATGTATAAAAATAAATAAATAATCTTGATTAATCTCTGTCATATTTCTTGAAATATATTAATATTGTGAAAGAGAGTGTTACTAAATTGTATTATCAGATAATATTATTAAAAATATATTAATATTATGAATATTAATATTGAAAAAATCTTGATACTTATACATTATAGTGATTTGTGACTCATGATAGTTAAATATATATATATATATATATATTGTTTCTGACTTGATTACAACTTGTACAATAATTTTTAACAACTCAAAATTAATTTCAATTAATAATTATGAACTTATAACTAACTAATATAAAAAGAAAAAAACTTTTTCTACTTATTATCTTTCTTCTCTTTCTCATTCTTCTTATTATTCTTTATAATTCACTTCTTATTCTTCTTCTTCTTCTTCTTCTTCTTATCTGAGATGATAATCATCTTAAAATGTCTCTTCACTATCTTCTCAGAGAAGAGTTTCTGCTGCTTTCTCTTAGTCAGGTTAATCTGTGTCTTAAAATCCCGCATTTCCTGGTCTGCTGTCTTGGGTTTCATCTCAGTGATAAGTAGATTGACATGCTCAGAGAGCAGAGCTGTCTTCTTAATATTCTGAATCATGAAGTGTATTTGAGATCTAAACAAGATCTCAATTCTCTCCTTCTCTGTCAGCTTCTGCTAATTAATTAGAGAAGAGAAGTATTATTAAGATCATTTATCTCTTAATAAATAAAAAATTTATCATTTTGACTTCTTATCTCTTATTTAATATTGTCTGAATCTTCTTCTATCACTGTTTATTTACAGAATACTCTTCATGTCTCTTTCCCTCGTTATCGTGATCTGCAAGCATT